TCTAAGCCCGAGCATGAAGCGAGTACTCAGGACCTGCCTCAGTACAGCGAGAGCGCAGCGCCTGCGTACGAGGAAAAGAATATCGCATCACATCCCAGTGGCACATATTCCGAGAGTTCAAGTACCGACCATGCAGGTCCTAGCTATCCTATTCCGGTGCCCGACGTCATGCTCTACACTCTCGTTGAGCCCAGAGATGCAATAGCAAACTACTTCACAGATATCAGAAACTCAGAGAACTCGCGCATCGGCAGAATCCTAGAGGCCGGCATCGTGACAGTCGAGACGAATAACCGAAATGGGGAGACTCCCCTCTTAGCCGCCATCGAAGCAGGCCACATCAGCACCACGCGCCTCCTCCTCGCCGCAGGCGCGGACCCGAACGCGTTCGGCGCGGTACCGAAGAAAAAGGGCGAGGTGAGGAGTGGCAGGCGGCATGGCTGTCTCTGGCGTGAGGATCGTGTGTACCGGACGCCGCTCCAGCTCGCGGCGGCGAAGGGCAGCCTCGCGATCGTGAAGCTGCTGATAGACGACTACAGCGCGGACGACGCGCTCGTCGCCCCGGACGGTGAGCTCGCGCTGCGTCTAGCGGCCGCCAACGGCCACCGCGAGGTCGTCGCGTACTTACCCGTGCGCCGTGGGGGCGGCTTCCGGCGGTGGAAGACGCGACACGCTGTCGCGATGCGGCGGGTAAAACGCGCTGTGAAGGGGCTAGGGTATGTCACGGAGTTCTTTTTGTATAGCCTACCAAAACTCTTCCTGTGGATGATCCCGAAACACGTCGTTGTCCTCCCTGTTGCCAGGCGCGTTAAGTGGTTGTACCGGCACCGTGCCGAGCTCCCTCGAATCGTGATCAACGGGCTGAAGAAATTGTGGGCGGGCGTCAAGAAGCTCCCGAAAGGCTTATGGGAGTTCTTGAAGGGGACGGCGCGTTTCATGGTGCGCCTAGTAGATTTTATCATCGACGTCGTCATCGCGACGATCACGGGCCTTCCGAAAGCGACGCGGCTCGCGGCCTTGTGGATGTGGAGCGGAGTGAAGACGCTTCTTAGGGCCGTCGCGTGGGTTTTCGACAGGCTGTTCTCGTTCTTGCATACCGCGGTCATGGCGCTCGTGACTTTCTTCAAGACTGTCACGTTGCGGAACGTCTGGGATGGCTTTGTCGCATTCGTGCGTGCTGTACTCGTCGACGGGCCAAAGAAGCTTGGGCTCTGGTTGGGCAAGTTCGGACATACCGTCATGAGAATGCTGAAAGCATTATGGGGAGATTTGGGAGAGCTTTTGGGATGGCTGTTCTGGGCGCTCGTCAAGGTCGCCATGTTTGTGCCTAAAAGGCTGGGTGAGATCATTGTTGGTGTGTTGAAATCGGCAGGTTATGGTGGCAAGGAAGTCTTGATTTGGATCAATCCGAAGAGAGTATGAGAGGGAATGGATTTTGAGGGGACGAGCAGCATGTCAGGCGTGGTATCTGGGATGGTCTAGGTACTACAGGTGGTGAGAACAAACGCAAAGAGGCGTATTTAGAAGCAATTACACCTAGTAGTTATGCGGTGGTATAATATTTCCCATAATCATCGATAAAAGTAGCAAGTAGGCGAGTTGCGCTAGAGGTTACCGTGGCAAGATTGTTGAGAGCCGTAGTCGCGGCGCCGTAAGACTCTATGCTGAGCAAGCTACGAAAAGCAAAAGTGTGCAATTGTCTAAAAATGCGCTCTATTAATACATATATCTAGATCTTCTCACCCTCTAGAATAGGCTTCGCCTCGTCGCTCTTCCACCAGCTGACGCCCTCCTCGCCAGGGTACGTATACCTGTCCATACTCTCCGGCTTCATCTCCACGCTGTAACCAGGGCTCATAGGTGTCGTGTAATATCCATCTTTAACAGCCGAGGGGTGGAGGAAGTGTTCGTGCAGGTGGTCTACGTATTCCAGCACGGAGAGCTTCCCACTAACAACGACGTAGTCGATGGTGCTCAGGTGCTGCGTGTACTCGGGCAGCCCGACACCACCAGAGTGCGGGACGATGGGAACGTTGAATTTCTTGGCCATAAGAAGCACTGCCAAAACCTCATTTACGCCACCCATCCGGCATGCGTCGATTTGACATACGTCGATGGCACCCGCCATCAGCAGCTGCTTGAATATCACGCGGTTCTGGCACATCTCGCCAGTCGCGACACCGACACCGAGGGGACGCAGCGCGTCGCGGATTGCCTTGTGGCCGAGGATGTCATCGGGCGATGTAGGCTCCTCGATGAACCAGGGCTTGAATTCCACCAGATGCTTCATGTACTCGATGGCTTCCGGCACGCTCCAGACTTGGTTCGCGTCCACCATCAGGATGTTGCCGCGGTCGTAGCCAATCACGTCGCGCGCAATGCCCAACCGTCGCCTGTCTTCCTCGATGCTCCCGCCAACCTTCAACTTGAAGTGCTTGTACCCCTGGCTCAGGGTCTCATTGAGCAAGCTCTTCATCTTCTCCTCGCCATAGCCGAGCCAGCCCGCACTCGTCGTGTAAGCGGGCACGGCACGGCTCTGCAGGGCCTCTTGGAAGCGCGCCGCCTTGCCGCTCTCGCTCTCCTTGAGCAGGGCGATGGCTTCCTCAGGGGTAATGGCGTCCGTGATGTACCGGAAGTCGATGCACCGCACGAACTCCTCGGGCGTCATCTCGGACACGATCTGCCACACCGGCTTGCCGAGGGTCTTGGCCCACAGGTCCCAGATGGCGTTGACGACGGCGCCGAGTGCTAGGTGGATGACGCCCTTCTCGGGGCCGATCCAGCGCAGCTGCGAGTCGTTGACCAAGTATCGCCAGGTCTTCCCCCAGTCTGCCACCAGAGAGGAGAAGGTGCGCCCCTTTAATCTGTCTCCGAGGTGATTGATGGCCGCGCATACTATATCGTTGCCGCGTCCAATGGTGAATGTCTAAGTTTCATGATTAGCGGGCTACATGTGAGTCGTCCGTTTCAGCAGATTTACCATTCCATGGCCTGAGTATTCTGAGTCTGTCTCGAGGATGCAGTATGCGGAAGAGTAGTCTCCAGCAGCATTCATAGCATCAGAGCCTGTCTTGTCGAGGGACGTAGGGAATCGGACGTCCCTAGTCCTCCAGCCAGTGATAGTTATCTCAGGCATTGTAAAGTTTCCTAAATTCAAAATCCGCCTCTTTGCTAAATTCGCGTATAGAAAGAAGGAGGTAGCTTGGAGAGGCGAATTGTGGCTTGAAGTTCTGGGAGGGGAAGGGAGAGAAATACCAATGCTGGCCAAATGGAAAAATAAAAGTGACGAGAAATAAGGAACGGACAAAGGGGAACATTCACCAACTCTCCTCCTCGTCACTCAACTCCATCGTGTAATTAATACGACATCCCCTCTGTACATCCCCAATCCCCTCCGGTTCTCGTCGTCCCTCCGTGGGGGATAAGTCAGTGGGTCCGTTCCATCATCGCTCCGACGGGCTCTAAAGCATGCGTTGTGATTGATGGAAAAATGGAGGGGAGATGCTACTCAGTTAGCTAGCCTAGCGTGTCCATCGAGAACGCGCGATGCATCTAGAACAGCTGGAAGCTCTTCAGGTCACGAACCCAATTGTACGCGTGCTGCTTGTCTAACTGGCTTAAATATTTGATGGCTCGTGTCGGAGATAGACGTGCTAAACACTACCTCTCTGTATGTATGTACACTCTCGCTTTCAACGCAAAGAATGACTAGAGTGAAACAGAGAAATAATGCGCCAACACCTTCTGGCCTACGTTCTATACAGCCGATTAAAGAAACCTACGCTCTTATTTAGCTGTTACAATCAAACAGTCTACCGAAACAGGCATACGAGGTAAAGCTATAGTAGATCTGTCAGATCAAGCCTCAAAGTTTAGAAACGTCGTAAGTTGGTCGTGGCCCCTTCGTATTTAACGGTGACGAGTCCTGGCTTAGTTGCAAGAAAGCCTTCAGAATTAGAGATTAATAGATTCATGACAAGTTGATTGATGTGGCCATTATCCAACGGAATGATGACGAGATCTTTAATGTAAGGTATAATTGTAGTTTTCATATCATCAAGTTGATAAAAGAAAGATCTGAACAATATGTCCAAGTTCGAGGCGCGATTATTTCCACAGCTTTCGCAGCCAGCCGCGGGCCTGCGCGGGGCATACCTACACACAGTTGATCTTATCGCTAATCTGGGACCACTAAAGCTGCCTCTTACGGTGGGTGGCCCGCTATCTGAAAGCTTAGCCGAAGCTAGCCATAGCGGCCAATAGGTACCCGTGCGGCGAAACCTTGGGAATAATTTATCCGTCGTCAACATCATGCGCCATTACCAATGTCCAGGCATTACAAGTAAAGCTCAAGGCTAGCTAGCTATTATGCCTCGTCACTGTCATTACGCTAGCCCTAAATCCGGGGGCATGGTACTCGGCTTGACTCCAAAGATTTAATGTCCGTCCCTTGCTCGCCCGCGAAGCATTCCGCTCTTGCTCCTCTTCAGGCCGAGCCCGTCGAGGGGCCTAAGACCACGAAATGGCGTGCCTACTAGATATTAATTCACAATCGCCGCTTCAATGGCGCGTCTGGTGTTAACGGCGCAAATGCAGGGCATACCTAAGTTTGATCGATCATAAAGATGCTATATAGTATTTACTCACTGACGCTCCAAGATATTATTAGAGTCCCCAAGTCAATGTCGCGTGACCACCTCGCTTCTTTCTACCCAGCCCAAACCGAGTCAATCCGACCCGTCGTTGTTGTACTTGCCGCGTGCGTGCAATGAACAGGTAGAATATTTGAGTACGGCGGATATTCAGGGGATCAGGCCCGGAACAGTTGTATACTCCGCGCTGGCCGATACTTCTTGGACCTCCATGAGACTAGACAGGCTTGTTGCCTGCAAAGGAGCCAGCTTGTCTCAAGGCTTGGGGCTCGAGGATGCAAAGCTTGAAGCTTAAGAGAGGAAGAAAAAAAATGATTAGGCTGAATGTGAAAAAGAAGTGGAAAAAAATACCCATCCTTGGAATCGAACCAAGATCTCCCTGATGATGTCGTCGGTCTTATTCCTACCACTCAGTGAAGGTGGCGAAGGCGCCGGTGTTATACTGTCAGGACGTGTTTTCCATTACACTAAACGGGCTGTTCTTGTTGTTGGAAGAAGGGCGTGTTGTTTGAATATATAACCTTCCCTTTCCTCTGTCCCTTGATCATTCATTGGTTGGGTACGGTGAGCGGGACCCAGCATGTTTGCTTCTACGGGGTAGTTACCAAAATACTCGCATGGACTGTTGGCGCGTCTGTGCGAGGCAGGCGCGTAAAGGTAGTCGGACTGAGGAGGTACCTAGGGGCTAAGTAAGGCAACTGCAGTGTTGGTTTCTACTTTCTCCTCAGCACACACAGTCTTTATTTGAAGCCTCTTTCTCACACACTGGGCGCTGTCTTAGGGGTTACCTGGGTAGGCTGACGAAGAGTCTACCAAAGACTTCGCTGCATGCCATATATGAAACCTATCCTTTAATCAGGTAGGTAGGGAAGAAATTCGACGAAGGAAGAAGCACAGGTTGTCGGCCATATCAACTCTATGTTTTCCACAATGTCATAATCTAGATCCATCATCATCCCTGATACGTTCGCTTCGTCGTAGGAAACTTATCATTTCATACCGTGCTACTCACGGTTATTTGGCTTGCTTGGTTCAGCAAAGTGCCAGCAAGCTCAAGTACAGGATCAATCAATACATATGGTAGCTATACCCAGGAGACAGAGGATAGAGCGATACAGGTAACCCCTCGATGCGGTATGCAAATGCTCCATCCAGCCAGCTTGATAGCCTTACACTATATTCCAGCATCAACTGCACAGTTACTTGAGTAACTTGGCGCAAGTATTCCGTCATGGGCTCTTCTTCTCCGTCGTCAACTCCTTATTGCTCGTCCTCCGTCATATCCACGTCCTCGTCTTCGTCCGTCATGCCCATTTCCTCGGAGTCCAAGTCAGTCCCAGCTTCCTCTTCCTGTCTCTCCTCCAAGAACCCGTCTTGCTCTTCTCCCTCAGGTAGATCATCAAGGCCCGTGAGCTGATTGATCTGCTCAATGATGCGGCGTACTGCCTTGTAGGCTCGCCTTCCAAGGGGGCCATCGCTGTAGACTCCCATCGTGTACAGCACCAATAGAAAGGGGGCTTTGTCGCCTCCCAGATCCTCCATGAGCCAGAGTCTGTTCGGGAATGCGACGCCCCCGTAGATGCGAAGCAGCATGCGGAGAATTCGTTCTGCGACCCAGCGCTTTGTGGCAAGTGACAAACCGGTGACTTCTATCTCGTTTCTGGGCTGTACTGCCGCTACTGGCCCCAGCTGGGATAGTAAAGCCGGATTTATAGTAGAGGGCCCGCTTCCTGTTGCGTCTGTGTTTCCGTGATAAACGGTGGGGTTCGTTGGCATGACGGCTTGGAACGAGAAGAAGATCGCAACGTGCTGCGTTCCCCAGAGGTTGACAGGGAGGAGTCCAATGCGAGCGTCGAATTTTCTCTGGGACGGGATGACGAAAGCCCAGCTGCAAGCTTGGTCGAGAGCACGCGTCAGGGCCTGAAGCTGGCGCCCCCGGTCGTGCAGCGCAGAGACCTCTTCGTTTAGTCCGTAGAGCACAGTGTTGCTGAAAGATACTACAATATCTCTAGAATTAGTAATCCTCCTGCACAAATCGAAGCGTATCACGACCCTTGACATTAAACGGAATAGGGAAACGACCCCCCGGCGTCACTCACAGGTATCCGGCTCAAGGCCAGCGGCAAGAGCCTCGCTAGGGGCCGGGTCGGCTACCACGTAGTTGGCATTGGCAAAATCGGGATGGGCGCTGTCGAAATCTTCCAGCTCTGCTTTAACATAGGGATCGAGACACCCGAGATCCGGTTCAGGCTCCCAGATAGTCATCTTTGTTGGGAGTTGATGCTCTATAGTAGGTTGGCGATTGACGGAAAGTTGCTTGATATAGAGTATCCCGCAGACAAGAGAGGAACTCGAGTGAAGTAAGTGGTTGAGCTGAGAACACCCTAGGATCGTACAATATAATAGCAGTGGAAACCGGCGTATAGGTACTACCTATTCCATCGATGAGTATAACGGATGAATCCTGGACGGGGTGAAGTGCCTTGGATACCCGTTGTTTACCTTGAAGCGTAGTCCCTCAGTGGTTTGAGAGGTATCTAGTTTCAAAGGTGGGTTCCATCAAGGAAGAATGTCTATATGATGGGTTACTGACCTTGAGGCGTGGATTTGGTTCTGCAGTTCTTGAGCCTGAAGGTGGTAGCAGATGAAGGTTGCTATGGACAAGTGGAAATTGGATCAAGGCTTCCCCGAAGAATGAGGTTCACACAGAATAACTCTAGAGGACTCGGCCCTACAGGTAATGCATTGGGTCATTCCCCTAGTCAACGATGATTCAGGTGCCGAGTATTATTCACAGTTGGCATCAAGTTTAGCAAGAACAGAAGAATGGGCTTATGCAGTAACAACGATATTTTGCCAACATCTCTTAAGCACTACACTACATTAACAGATGCATTGTTGATAGCTACATATTCCCTGCCACAAGTACAAAGTATTGATTTCACGACATGTTGTGAAATCGGCGTAGTGACCTGTAGTTGCTAGTGCTTCAACACATATCGCTGTGGTTGCAACTCACTTATGTAGAAGCACTCTAAAGGAAGTAGTAGGTTCCTGAGATAGACACCTACAAGCTTGGTTATGTTACAACCCACCTCACTTATGATGGGTTTGTGTTAGGAGCCGTAGGCTAGGTGTAGGTAATGATTATTGTTGCTGCGCGAAGGTCTTCTAAACTGCCTTCCTATCTGCAATCTGACTATATACAGGAATAGCCAGCATCCTTTGTTTATATGCCCTGTGATTGTCCTCCTGGTGGCTGCGTTCTCTAACAGTTTGTAACCTTTCTATTGCACTACTATTCTGATGACTCAAGTTCTGGGAGATCCCGAGGGAGGGCAGCGTTCTGCCCTCTATCGAATGTATTCCTACTCAAGTGTTTAAGAAATTGGGAAAGGCTTTCTTGAAAAGTTCTTCAATTAAAACAGGTTGAGCTATCAATCTATTCCTGTACCTTGATGTTTCGTTCTCAGATGTTTGGTTATCCCCATAACAACACATTTTTCCTAGACAAAGAAAAACCTTATTGAATTTGCTACACAAAAGCACAAAATGGAGAGTTCCAACTGCTTCGGTCCAAGTGTGGAAGAAGTAGCTTAACTTGGATCTAATTAACTTGTACGATTAGATGATGCATGTACCTACTACCTACCTTACAAACGTACATACATCTAACCCATCCATTACTTGCTTCTGGATTAAGTAATTCCCTCATGCAGCTGCATAGCACTTCTGCTAGCTGCACATTATTAATATTTCATAACTCCAAGTTGTGAAGAGAGATAGATATTAAAAAGTCTGTGCAAGCAACACTATGTGTGTATGTTGTGCGTAATGGAAAAAAGGACAAAAATAAAACAGGTATATCACATGAATACTGCTTCTTCCTGCTTGTTATCTTATCTTATCTATTTCTTTATTCATCCATCTAACTCTGTAAAAATAAAATAAACCTTTTTGCCTGATAATAGAGGCAAAAAGTGTCAAAAAATGAAATTGGATGCCACCACGCGGAATCGAACCGCGGATCTTTTCATAACATTGCAAGTACAAGTGAAACGCATTACCCCTGTGCTATGATGGCGAGTCCTGGTTTTGTTCATCTCCAATTGTTTGTTGGGAATCGATGAGGATCTTGGCGGTTATGAGGAGCAAAGCAAAGAGAGGCCGAAGTGGTGGGTGGGTATGGTGGGACCGTTATCTCCGGAGACCCACTCTGTTATCTACGCATTACTTATCTACTTCGTACGGAGTACCTATGCTGAGATCCAGAAGCTAAACAAACAATGATTGACTACGGCTTAATTAGGTATAACATACGTTGGTGGATTCCAGTCTATTTACCTACCGTAAATCATATCGATCACACTAAAGATTCTGGTCACTCGTTAAATCATGGGTACAGAGATTGAATTGAAGCCCTCTTCTTACAGTAGGTATTAGGTGTCCCAGCTGCAGCTTAGGTAGGGTCTAAATATCAGATCAAGTCAGCTGCCAACGCTTTGGAACAGTCCAGAATTCTTTTATCTCTGCCTATCCTGATGAGACAACAAAACATGCTCTGTTGGTGCACAAAGTACATAAGTATGTATACGCATATCTACTGTATCTATCTTTAACACCCGATGGGCGCAAATCACGTGGACGGCTCTACGGAGACGAATGCCGTGCCAGCTGTACAACCTAGACTGCCAACCTACCTGACTACCAACCAACCTTGGTAAGTGCTGGGTCGCCTAAGGGGCGATACCGGCAATCGATGTACAACCCAGGGCGTCCAATGGACTACAAAGGAACAGCCAGTAGAGGAACATGAACTTGAATATGTGATTGACCGATTGATTGATCAATTAATCAATTGGTGTGTTGGGAGGTAAGAGACGTCATTCGGGTTCTTGAGGTTGCTCGTTCATCATATTTTATTTCATTTCATATTCACCATGTCATCAGGCACAGAGTCGTATGTGATCGTCGGAGCGGGCATCTTCGGCGTATCCACAGCCTACTACCTCATCAAGAAATACCCCAATGCATCGGTGACGCTTGTCGACCGCGATGCCTACGACGCGGAGACGCGCGTGGCTGCGTCATGGGACTGGAACAAGGTGGTGCGCGCCGACTACGACGACATCGTCTACTGTCGGCTCGCCCTCGAAGCACAGGACATCTTCAAATCAGACCCCTTATGGCAGCCATACTTCCACGAGACCGGCCTGATATGGACGTGTCGCGACGATTATGGGCGAGCTGTCGTCGACAACTACAAGCGTCTCGGCCGAAAAGCCGATATCAAGGTAGTGTCGGTCGAGGAAGCGCGTAAATTGTACGGCGGACTGTTCGATAGCGCCGACTACAGCGGCGTCAAGGAGGTGCTTATCAACCCGACCGGCGGATGGGGTGCTGCCGGAGATTCTCTGCGCGCCATCACTCGCAAGGCTCTCGAGTTAGGCGTCAAGTACGAAGTGGCCGAAGTTGCGACACTGCTCCTCGGCAGGGACGGGCAGTGTTCCGGTATTAAGACAACAAAGGGGAAAGTCTTGAAGGCGACGCATACTATTCTGAGCGCCGGCGCGTACACGCCGACGTTACTCGAATATAGTGCGGTGAACAGTGGCCTACCCAATATCGCAGCCGGATTTAGGATTGTGGCGGGTGGCATCACGACAGGAATGGCGAAATTAGACGACGAGTCACACGCGATATACGGTTCTATGCCCGTTGCTTTCCAGGGGTATACCCCCAAACAAGGTAAGAGGAATGCGCGTCCGGCTTCACCTTGCATCAAATTCTGATCTTGAGAATAGGTCCCTTCATTGGCTCTCTTCCGCCAACTCCTGGAGACCGTGAGATGAAGTGGTGGGGCCCAACAATATTCAAGAACACCAGGGAGGTGTTGCCCGGCCACTATGTCTCATCGCCGCCTGCGAAACCGGACTACGCCCAGTGGGAAGTCTCCAAAAGGCTAAAGGACGACATAAAGCACGCAAATCACGTGTTCTATGGCGAGAAGACTGCGCATTGGAAGCTTGACAAGCACCGTATCTGCTGGTGAGTTCTGCAGGTCCGTAGCGGTAGATGAAGCGCTGGCTAACTAAGGGACAGGGATGCCTTCACCACAAGCGGAGACTTCATCGTCTCGCCGCATGCGGCTTCAAAAGGCCTGTATATCGCCACCGGTGGCTCGTTCCACGGTTACAAGTTCTTCCCCGTGATTGGGAAGTACGTCGTCCAGATGCTAGAGGGTCAGCTCTCTCCCGAGCTGACAGAGAAGTGGGCTTGGGACAGACAACGTCCCGACCCTGCACTCTCGCCAGACTTCCCCAGATTTGAAATGAGGGATCTAGTGGATCCCGTAAGGACTTCGAAGCTATAACGATGCTAATTTGGTAGCCGTATGCGTTGGTGTCTGTACTATTTTGTTCACGGTCTAGTGTTCTCGTTTAAACTTGTCAATGATTATGAAATATGTCCTAGTAGGGGAATAGGGGTAGCAATATAAAGCTCAATAGACGCGTGAATTCATTTCCAAACCTTCTATGCCCGAAGCGATCTAGTGCACCCATATATGGGAAAAAATAATGCCCTAGGTACGCCCCTCGCGTGGCTACCAGGGTATAGTTAGGTTACTTGATCACGTCTCAAAAGGGTTAAATCAGAATTTGTAGGTTAATCATGACTGCACAAACAAGATTGCCTTGCCTCTTAAAGAGCCAAAACGTATAATAATTTGGTAATCAATTACATACAGCGGTCATGATGATGAGATCGGGCGGTATGTGTCACGTTCTAGACCCCCGGACAGGACCCCGGAATCCTTCTCAGGTGCTACCACGTGGGTCACGTTGGGCAGAAACATCGTGACACATGACCGCCAAATATTTCCGTCTACAGGTACCCAAGACTGAAACACGGAAGGTTGATTCTCGGGCCAACAATTCCGCTACCGGCAGGCCAGCGCGCTTTTAACCACCTACGCTATATACTACGTTTGAAGAAAGAAAAAGAAAGTGTAAAGAGCACAAGGAGTTGCCCCCAGTCGGAGACACGTTGTTCATATTAGCTACATAATAGGTTGCTTTGAAAGCCCCTACGGAAGTCATACGGCCAATTGCCGAGTATTCCCAATACACTTAACTAAGTTGAGTTTGGGGTTTTGTCTCTTCCGGAAGGTCTAATATTCGGTTTATTGTCCACATCAGCGCATTGCAAAATGTTTGCCGCTGACCTATTTGACTAGCATCAATAAGGATATGGCCACTACTGTTCTTTTGAGCTGGACAGGATGTGATTACAGGCCAGAAAACGAGGATGTATAAAGGTAGTTGCAAACACTACTAGGGACCGTGCCTGATCCGCATTTTTAGAAATAAATATTGCTTCTCTGGCCATCGTTGGGTAGTGGAATAGTCTATTGCCGAATAATAATATGAATACTGAAATAATTACACTCAAAACAACATTAGACGTCTAGGGAAAGAAAAGAGGACATAATTATACAATTATCATACTGTTTTAGTACACTTTGTGGATTTCGAAAGATCATGGCCTTTAGTTGGCGTTATACTCCAGAACGTACGTCACATAAGTAACTGCAGGCAGTTGAGTCTCTGATTTAACAACGCTCTGCCTTCACAAGAGGTCGTGATATAGTGTGTCATGCCCCGATCATGACAGCAGGTGACCGAGAATGAAGTTCTCAACTCAACTTGTTATCGTGAACGGATGAATCAAACAACGTACTCTAGATTTCTCTTTTCTGGTACTGATCATACGTTACGCCACAAGTCCTTAGATCCAAGGTGTTCTAGGTTAACAATGCGGTGCAAACGCCCATACACTCCTTGGTGTGTTGTTGTTGGGAGCAAATGGGTGGACTCTGCAATGCCGATCACGTGAGCGTATCTCGGAAAACCTCCGATCAGTCAGAAATGCTTGAGGGTTGTAGATAGATAGTTTGGGCCCGGTCATGTGACCGATATTCCATAGCATTGAATGTTACCACCGTATCTCTAGCCGTCTTCACGATCATGGTTAGCAAGCGGGCGGGATTACAGATAGGGCCAGCTAGGGCTAGCCAGGGACTATGGCAGCCCAATCTGGGCGGACGGGCACTGAGACAACGATATCTATATACATAGGGTGCAACCCCCGTATCATGATGAATCGTCTATCTCACACCCATCTTCATATCTCATAACAGTAAACCTCTGAGTGGTTGCGTGCTAGTCACCATGGCCGAACTCTCTACTTACTACTCACCCCAAATCCTCCTCCTTACCTTATCGGCCTCTTTGGTCGCCATAGCGCTGTCCTTTGCGTCAAGCTTTCCTGGGTTACAATGGCTATCGAAGAGATTAGCCAAGACCAAGAATGCAGCCAACAAAGCTGTCAGAGCTCTCCCGGGGTCCTGGTACCTCTCTCAAGAGATGTACGAGCTCGAGAGGAGAGCAATTTTCTCAAAGAAATGGCTTCTTACAACACACAAAATAAGACTGCCCAACCCAGGAGACTGGCTTCGATACCAAGTGGCCGGTTTCGACTTTGTTATCGCCAAGGACCGCACCGGAACCATCAACGCGTTCCACAATGTCTGCAGACACCGCGCCTTTCCAGTTGTGACGAAAGACGAGGGAAACAACAGCATCCTCGCTTGCAAATACCACAACTGGTCTTATTCTCTGAACGGCAAGCTCACTAAAGCGCCGTCATACCAAGATATTGAGGGCTTCGACAAGAGCCAGAACGGCCTGTTCCCTATCCATGTCCACATCGACACTAATGGATTCATCTGGGTGAACTTGGAGGCCACAGAGAAGCCAACCACTGCGTGGAATGACGACTATGCGAACATCGACAAGCAGGATAGGTTCAAGGCTTACAACTTTGACGAGTACCAGTTCGACCACACCTGGCAGATGGAGGGAGAGTATAACTGGAAACTCCTCGGAGACAACTACAACGAGTGCTACCACTGCCCGACTACTCACCCTGACATCCCCACCGTCGCCGATCTCAGCAACTACGGCGTCGTCACTGAGAATGCGTATGTTCAGCACCTGGGCAGGCCAACGGCAGAGCAGATTG